GTCAGAGTTTGTTAGCTCACATACGTGGTTACGTGAGCACAAGTACATTGCTTGTCTGGGTCAGCTCAGGCTCAGCACCAGATCAGCCAGCGAGGAGAGGGAACTGCAAAGAGCTGTTCGGATCACCTCTTTGGAGAGGGTTTATTAGCCTGGGAGTAGTGTCCAGCCCACGGCAGCTTTGTGCTGCTCCCACATGAGAAAGGCTGGGGAGGTGATAGAGGAAAGCCACTGTCAGAGCTGGCAGCCAGAGTCCCTGTGTCCCTGCTTTTTGCTGTCAGGTTTATCCCAGCCGTTCAATACCTAAATAATGAAAAATTGCTGGTAGGTTCTTCTGCAAGCCTTTGGCTGGTGGGTATTAGGTGAGTGGGGAGCACTTTTTGGACTGAGTCTCCAGCGTGAACATGTCCTTGAAGGTAATATCCCAGCCACCTGAATTCACCATGTGCTTCCAGCTGGCTGTGCCACTTTTTCTCATGATCTGTGCTGGACTCCTGTGTCTCTGTACACAGCTGTTGTCCAGAAGTGGCTGGATTTAATGGCATGGGAACTTCTTCCTCCTGCCAGAGGCTTTGGTACCAGTCTTTGCATTCCTTTCCAAAAGGAGAGCCAGAGACTGCAAAGTCCACATGAGACTTTGCTGTTGCAATTGACCCATGGTATAGCAGCTGAGATGGATATGTAGTTAGTAAATAGCTTTGAGAATTCTTTGGTATAAAAGATACATACACTGTAAGAGATCTAATTATTTTTATTGCTAGGACTATGCTAAGCCACACTGCTGGGGACAAATCACATACTGCCATTCTATTTCTCTTGGGATAGAATAGGAGACTTGTTTAAACCCAAGAAAAACTGCTTCTGTGCCTTGCCTGATTCATGCTGCATAGTCAAATGCCATGGGAAAGCACTTGTAATACAAACACTTTTGTTTATAGGCAGACATTTAATTATCATATTACAGAATTCTCAGGACCAGCTGCCACATGAGATTTCTGGGTGGGACATTGAACATGAAATTAAAGCAGAGTGTCACATGCCCATTTAGCTGAGAACCTGAGCAGAGGGTTTGCGCTTTCCTGTTCCCTGTAAAGAGCTTCCTGGATGATATTTCTGTGCAGATTAGTCATGAGAAGTGGGCATGCTGTAAGCTTGGTGACGTCTTTGTGACTGGATCAGAGAGCAAATATTGGGATCTGTTCAGCACGGGCTCCCTGTGAGTGATTAAATTTCTTCTCCAAAGAATCTAGGTCATGTGCCAGGATCAGAGCACTGGGCATCTATGGAAAGCAAAACCAAAGTGGATTGTTTCTAAGCTTTTCAAGCCAGAGTTTTATTGACAGTCCTGAATGCTTTGGGAAAATGCATTGTAGTCCCAGTACAATGTGGGAAATAATGGTATATGTTAGTATCTCTATGTAAAGGGAAGCTTGTAAACCTAGTCCTAATGCTGATATGGTTTGCAAGATTGAATTGTTTTCTCAGGGAAGTAAGGATTATATTTGGGGATAAGAGTATGCAAAGCTGTTCTCTCCTCATGCTGCTCTGCCTTTTCCTGCACACATCACGCATCCCTATTGGGTCATATTCCCATCTCCATTACCCGGTGTGCTCTCTGCACTGGTTCCCTTTCTTTCTTTCTGCCATTTCAGTTTAGTCCCCATGTCCAGGGCAAGATGTGCTTTCCATATACCCATTAATTGTGAGTAAACTCCCCACAGGTGACTCAGGAACTTAGTGAGTCCAAGTGCACAAGACTTCTGAAGCATCTCAGTCCTCTGCTGATGCTCACCTGTAAACAGTGCCTACAGGAGCTTGGGTACCTAGCTTTCTAAAACAGTGGCACTGGAAAAACACAGTGGTGGCAGCAAAGAAATCCCTTTCCTGTAGGTACAACCAAAAGATGCAACAAAAAGCTCTATCCTGCATTTACAGCCATGATCTGCTGGTTTCCTGGTCTGTTTTAGTGTGTGTTGTCAGGAAATTAGCTTACGACATCTTCCTACACCCAGAACAGGAGATGAACTGCCAGGAATGTTTCACTAACGTATTTTTGGAACACAAAATCCCATTTACCCTGTAGGGGAAGATTGTTTCAAATGCCATCTAAAAATTGCCAAGTGACACTGCCTTGTCACTGTGCTGTGCATGTCTGGGAGTCAATTACTCCAAGTTAGGACATGAACTTCTCTCATGGTCCCTTTTTACTCCTTATGTCTGTCCTGTCGCTGGGTCTGGTCTTTGCCTGTACAGCCATAAACAAACTACAACACTGTTCTGCTTCCATGTGATAAACCCGTGGCTGTGGGGCTCCCAGGGTAGGTGTGGAGGTTTATCACTCTGCAGGCTTTTTGGGGCTGTGGCTGGTGAGCCAGCTCTCTTGAATGAAAGCTGGAGCTCTCTGGACTTGCACACTGCTGTTCAGAATTCATGCAAGGCATAAAATGAGCTCTAACCTTCCAGAATGTGCTGTAACCTTTCACCACTGGGTCGGGGCTTCCAGCAGTGCTGGGGAGATGCGGTCAAAGTGGCACAGCCTGGGTGAGAGCCCTTGTGAGAGCTGTTTTGCTGAGAAGCTTCTGTTTCTGGTTAGGCAGTGTGTGCTCTCTAAAAAAAGCCACATTTAATGTACCTCTGTCTGTCGTGTTTGGTGCCAGTAAGCAGGAAGAGAAAGATCGCTGCTGACTTTGTCGCTGCCTTGCAGTAGTAGAGCTGGTCTCTATTTCTCTTCAGCATATGTAAAGCAGCCTGTTAGCAGGGTCAGTGGTCATCATGGGCAATGGTCTTCAAGTCCACGGAGAGCTGGATGGTATTCAGGCTGCAAATGAGGCTTTACCAAGCAGCTTGGCTGGTGCTGCGACCTTTGAGCTCACGAGAGACATGAGCACATCCAAGTGCAAATACTGAAAGTGAAAAAGGGAGCAGGGGAAGGAGAATCCTAAAGCATGTGGGATGCGTGCTGTTTGTTTAATGTAGGGGTTTTTAATTCCCTCCCCCTTTACCCTGAGGTCATGAAACTTTTTTTTTCCAGCAGTGTCATAGTATGAAGAAATACAAAAACACATCCTCCTGTTGCAATAGCATCTGCTGGTGGAAACCATGTGAATGTTTTGAAAGACCAGGAGTTTCTTCACAGATCAGGCTGATTAGTGTGTCTGAAGTGTAATTCGAATCTGCCCTACATTGCCAAACTGCATATGATGAAAAATGACCCCTAGTCCACCAGGAGCATCCTTCATTCTTTGACATGCTGGCCAAGTGTCTTGGGATTTAGAAGAACATACTGCAGAGGTGGGGGAGAGGGAATGAAGATAAATAAACCTAGAACATACTCTGTATAACAACCACAAGGTTGGTGAGAGGCATCCAGCTTCAAAGAAGTGGTCCAGGGACAGTTTTTCTTGGCTACACTTTGTGACTTTAGAGTTGCAGTAACCGTGGCATGTATCGTAGCATAGTAGAAACCCAGCATTTGAAGCAGGCATCTCATTTCTGCTGTGCTTCCAAGAGAAGCCTGAAGTCTCTGTACATCTCTTACACACATGGGGTGAAGAGAATGGAGAAGGGATGTGGCTTCAAAGGCTGTATGGGAAGGGTGAGACATGCACCTTGTAAAGGAGCACTGCAGTTGCTGTTCCTGGAATGAGCTGATCATGGGATTGAATGTGTGGGTTTCCCCAGGAAAGTCCCTTCTGTGTCTTTGGTCTGCTTTGTTTTAGAAAAGCAAAGAGCCAGTTCTTACTAGTGTTAGTGTTTCTGGGATGCACAGCTCAGATGGCTGTATCTCCAGCTGGCTGGTAGGCTTGGAAAGGAGAGGAGTCACACCATGATGCTGTGGATGCATCTTAATGTGTCCTAGCTCTTTCCAGGAGTGAAAACTGAAACTCCCAGAAGTCAGACTTTTATTTACAGGTAGTTGTCTTGTGGGGCTGCCACCCATAAATCTTCTCCGTGGGGTGACCTAAACCTCACAGATGTGCCTTGCAAGAAGGAAACACATTTTTCCAAGCCCCATCTCCAGTTCCCCTTTCACTGCACATGATTTCACACACATACAGTGAGCTTAAGTTAACTTACAGTGACTTTAAGTCACTGCTGTAGGCACTGTATGGGTGTACAGTCATGAAGTTCCTGGGCTCTCAGGAGCTGTGTGACCATGGGGCTGGCAGCTGCCCTGTCCCAGGCCAACCCAGCAGTGGAGGGGGGGAGCAAGGGTGGGATTCAGCCATGCACACAGGGCATCTAAACACGTGAGGCTGACATCTGTGGGTTTCTCATCTCTGAATCTCACTGCGGTTTTTGGTGGGGCTCTATTTCCTTTTATATACAAGCTGTCTTTTCACAAAGCAGTCTCACAAATGAGTTCGTTAGGAAAAGCCACGTGAGACCACCAAAGGCTGGAATTCTTTTCCCAGGAGAGTGTCATAAAATTGCTCAAAATCAGAGGCTCGCTCTTATTTTAAGATCTTATTTAACATCAACTGTGGTGTGGGGTGTTTAGAACAACTCTTAAGTAATATTTAAGACATAATGAAGGACTTTTTGAGGATCATATTTGATAAATCTTATATTTTAAAAAACATTCTACCAAAGATTATTCAATTGGATCTAAATTCCCAGCAGCTCTCTCACCAAGCAGTGTTATTTCTAAATTTCACATCTTTTATAAGATTTATCTCACTATTTCCAACCCGTTGTTAAGTGCTTGGTGTTGGAGCCTGTCACATCTGGAAGCCTTGCTGTTTGTTACAGTGCTCTGTCAGGTCCTTGTGATTTCAGCTGACTGCAATTAATAGTTATAATACTCAGTTTTAATTGCTTGGGGTACATTTCTTGCTTTCAGAGGTGTGTTTGGCACTTGCAGAAAGCACCATTGACTCCCTATAATCTTTCACTGGGGGGATTAATCCTGCTGGGTTCATGCTGTAAGCTCTGTAGAACCGAAAAGGACTGGACTGCAAGCAATGACCGCTTCAGCCTGTGAAATATTTATGTCTTCTCAGCCAGCCCCTGTGACTTCCAAAGCATTAACACTGCAGAGACTGGAACGATATTTGAACTACTTTAGGATTCAGATGACTGCAAAACCGAAACCTCTGTGGGCTCACAGCTGCTCCACCACATTTGCAGCACAGTCTGTGCAACAGCCCATCGCCGATGGAAACATAAACAAGGGCTGTCAGAACATTTCTGTTCAAAGGTCAGTGGTAAATGACAGACACTTAAATGCTGTTTTGTCTCTGTTCCAGAAGCTGGAAAATAATAGGATTGGATTTTGATCAAGAACTCTGTTTTATTCCCTCCAGTCATTAGCTTTGTGGTCTCCTATACCCTAAGTATAGATGAGAATAAAAGGAGGAGAGCTTTGATGGATTATTTGTTTGGGAGTTTGTTTGGAGTTCAGCCATTTATATACGGTGAGCACCATTGTGTTTGACTGGGACTTGGTCTGTTCCTCCTGATGCTTTCCAATCTGAGACTGCTGCCCACTGGGCCAGCCCTCTAACACCCCAGCTCCCTGTGTGCCCCAGTGCTGTGAGCTGGGGCAGATCAGCACACAGCCAGTGAAACATGGATTTTCTTAATGTTTGATACAAGGGCACAGCAAAGGCCCTTCCACAGGGAGCCAGTTTCTGTTCTGAATGGGAAGCCATGGCTCTTCCTCACACTCCTGAGCCATGGAGAGGAGTCTGGGAGCAGTCTCCTTAGCTGTGGGCTGAACCTGCAGGAGTGTGATCTTGATGTGCAGAACTGCAAGGATTGGGCACCTGGGTTCTGGACTATTTAAAATAGATACAGGTCTTTTCCAACCTAGTTGATTCTACGGTATCTTCTGAGCCTTTATGTAGCACAGTATTGCACCCTTGCCTGCTCCAGCAGTTGAAGTGAGGAATGGAGGTGTTGTGTTTGGAGGATACTGCTCTCAGTCCTCACCCAACAATGCACCCTTTACACAATGTACCTTAGTGGAGATTTCACCTTGTATTTTAGCATCGTTTGGTCATTTCATTTCTACTAGTCCTTCCACTTCCATTATATCCCCTGAGTAATGCCTGCTTGGAGGACAGTACAGTAAGTGACTTCTGTCTAATCTGATTTCTAATTCTTAGTGGCCTGGATAGACCAGCATTAGTTTGCTATTTCAATCTGATCCATCAGAGTCCTTTGCTGCACGGGGCTGCTCTTTTATATCACTTACATGGCAAAACCACAGCTTAATCTCCAAAGCAAGACCAGGAGGTTGTGTGTGTGTGTGGAGCAGAGACCATTAACAGCCTCTTGCTGCACCAAACCCAGGGCAGGAGCTGAGCAAAGAGGTCTCCTGCTGGCCAGGGGCTTCTGTAAGCTGTGAACAGGGTGTGTGGTGCAATGCAATACCTGTTTATGCATTAAATTAATACTTTGTTGTCTGGATGTGGCAGGATTCACCTGACCCTTGTAGCACCAGTTCTGCAAATAATGGAGTGGTTTTAAGTGCATATTGAAATAGAAATCCCCCCCAAAAAGCATTAATTCTAACGTGTCTGATAAAAGTTAAGTCAGTCATCACACATAACTGAAGAAGGTGAACAGTGTCAAGGCAGGGATTGGCATGGATTTTGGGATGGAAGATCATTAAACTCTCCTTTATGAAGTGCTATACTTCTTTCTGTCTGTACTCTTATGGATTGTAGGCTGGAAAGAGAGAAAACAAAAAGGAGGGAGGTACAGTGATCTTTTCCTCAATTAAGGCACCTGAGTGCAGTGGAAAGAAGCTGCATCTGCCATTCCACCGGCTGATGCTTCCTGGGAATGAGGACAGGATGGTAATGCTCTAGGGATATGCCAGACTTGTGGCATCTCCAGGCTTGGAGGGATGTTGCAGTCAGACACAGTCATCACCACACACCTTTGCTGCAGAGCAGCTGGCTCAAGAACACAAAGGGGCAAATCATGACACTGACAATGTTGGGGTCAGGGTAGGAATAACTTTTGGACCAGTGATTTGACTTGCTGGATTCTGGAAAAGATGTGCTTGAATGTGATAGAGTTTGAATGTGTTCCCAGTTCCCTTTGGGGTTTCCCTTTCTCATGGCTCCTTGTCAGATGTATTCATTGCTCAAACCCAATGAGATTTCTTTACTTGGCATTACTAGACTGCTTGTCCAAATCAAATCTGAAATTCCACCATCCTCCCTCGCTCTGTCCACCAGCCGCAATCTGCAAGACAGCACACGATCCTCCTCAGCATCTGTCAGGTTGGATAACAGGGCAGGAAGGTGAACAAAACAAACTGTTTCTTGCATAGCTCCACATGTACATAGCTGACAGTAGTGATGTTTTATGTTTTGGTCAGCAAACAGGGACATGGTTGAGCTGAGTTTTCAAGGGTTGTGGTCTCAAAGGCTTCTTGTAGCTTCACAAACTCTTGTGCAAAATCCAAGAGCTTTGAAACCTCCTGGATACTACTGACAAATCTTGGAGCAGCGTGTGCCAAGGTAAAGCATCCTGCTGCCTGGGCCGCTTGTTTGGATAACCCGGCAGCTGTCTGCCAAGCCTTAGGCTGAAGTAAGGGCATAGGTGTGAATGGGAAAAAGGTGCAGACAAAAAGAGGCTGGATCTTCCCATGAACTGCTGCCTGTCTCTCTCATACGCCAGCACCAAGATCTCTGCTGTGACCTCTGGGGATGACTGAGCGTAGCGTGAGGATGAAACTGCCCACGTGACAAACATCCCTGTGAGCTGCATCCTGTTGCCCTGGCGGGATCTTGACTTAGGTCTGGGTGTGGTGAGAAGCAGTGACCTTCCCAGCAGAGTCAGGAGTAAGCTGGTTTAAGTCAGGAGCTTTCTGAGTATCTCCTTCACTGCAGATTCTCTAGCTTGGCAGCCCCCATTGCAGGCACAGGGTGAAGTGATTCCTTCCCTACACAGAAACTAGTGCAGCTTCTGACCTCTGCCCTGTTCTGCACTGGTGCTAGAGGGCAAGGTAGGGAATTAGAAGTCCAGCGACTTCTGCATCCCCAGGAAAATGACTAATATGTACCAATTGTAGACTGACTCTAGGACTGATATGTATAATGATGATTAGTGTAGTGTCTAGTGAGTGTTTGGAGATTTGGGTATTTTTGATTCTTCTAAGAGGATTGTGCTTGTGTGTCTGAAGCTAAAGCAGAAGTTTCTACCATCTGAAATAACTGTGATGTAGGTAAAAGTGGTAGCAGACTTGTGTGCTTGGTGAATTCAGCACAAGAAGGGGGTTGTAGTAAAGACTGATTGGTAAGCAATATTTGGAGAGATTTCCAGGACAGGCTTACTAGAAGCATGGAATGATTGGTGACTGCTGCCTTGACTCTGCCTGGTGGGATGTGTTTTCACATGCCAGTTGTGGGAACTGAGCTGGGCGGCATTCTGTCCTTTCCAGATCCAGCCCCAGTGACCCCAGGTCTTGTTCTGCACCCAAGAGTCTAAATTCCAGACCAATGTTAAAAGTTTTGCCCCATTTTTTGTGTCTGTCCGTGACACCAAGAGCTTTAGGGTAGTGTGAAAATGTGCATGAACTTTGTGCCTACCAGATCTGGAGCCAAGATCTAAGCAGGATGCATTCACACATGGTATTCTTGCCTTTCTGTCCAAGACCTCCTGTATCTGTTGCCCTCAGCCAGAGTATCCAGGATCCCACAATGCAGCATGGTCTTACGTCTGTTCTCCATTTCCAAATCTTTGTCTCTGTTGTTCTGCTTCTGGGTGGATCACAAAAATAATTACCTAAATGAACCAGGCGCCAAAACACCGTAAGTGATCATGTCCTCCAGAGAACAACAGTGATTAGGTCACCCTCTTTGCTTATCTCAGGTTCCCATCCTTAAAATAAGGGCAGCAATAGTTTTGCTTTTAAAAGAGCAGGACAAACTTGTTCATGTTTGAAGTATTAATTGTTGTTATTATTATTATTACTCATATGGATGACAGGGAAGCACCTAATGAACACTGGTTATGTTACAATAGGCTGTGACTGCTGTTGTCATGACTAACACAGCATAAATTTACTAGGCTGCCTGTTTACACTCATGCAAACTCCACCGCATACTTGCGGTCCATTACCAGCAGATCATCATGGTCAGGAAGTTCTTATGGTGCTGATCATTTTGTATGACACCTCCATCCTTTCAAAAGACAGCAGCCGTGCTCATCCAATAGAGTATCTCTGCATGTGCCTCCCCAGCAGGAGCTGCTGTCCTGGTTTAACCCCAGCTGGTAACTCAGCCCCACGCAGCCGCTTGCTCACTCCCATCCCAGAACTGGGGAGAGAATCAGAAGGGTAAAAGTGAGAAGCCTCATGGGTTGAGATGCAGACACTTTAATAGGTAAAGTAAGAGCTGAGCATGCAAGCAAAGCAAAACAGGGAATCCATTCATCATTTCCCATGTTCAGGCAGGCGCTCAGCCATCTCCAGGACAGCAGGGCTCCATCATGATGACTTCGAAAGACAAGTGCCATAACTTGGAATGCCCCCTCTTGCTCGTCTTTGCCCCAGCTTGACATGCTGAGCATGGTGTGGAACATCCCTTGGGTCAGTTGGCATCAGCTGTTCAGGCTGTGTTCCCCCCCCCAGCCCCTTGTGCACACCAGCCTGCTTGCTGTTAGGGTGCGGAGAGGAGCAGAAAAGGCCTTGGCTCTGTGTGAGCACTGCTCAGCAGTGACTGAAACATCCCTGTGTGATCAACGCTTTCCAGCACAAATTCAAATCACAGGCCCTACTATGAAGAAAATTAACTCTATCCCAGCCAAAACCAGCACAGCTGCCCAGGTGTTGCCTTACTGCATAGCAAGGGTAGGGTCTGTCTGGAGCAATTTCTTCCTTTCTGCTTTCAGAGGCAAAGAAGCAGCTCTGACTTCCAGCTGCTGCTTTCCAGTGCTTTCTGCAGAGCAGGTCCTTCTGGCTACTAGAGAAGTGATGCTGAAAACCAGATTCCCTCCACACATGTCTTTGCTCAAGACCAAATGGTGCTTACCCTGCCTTTTTCCTTTGTAGAAAGGGTTTCTAATTATATTCCTTAATAATTTGCTCCAATTGACCAGGATGGTGGGGTGACAGACTGGGACGTTACACGTGCGTGTTTGGGTGAGTAGCAGTGACATTGTCTTTGCTGTGGGCTGTCACACAGGTGTGACACCTTTTGCCCTTTGCAACCATCACACGGGGAAGGAGCCATGTTACAA